GTTTTCTCTCAGCGGCTGTATTGATGAAACTTAATGTTAAATTTTGATGGGTTGATGACTTTTCAGGTCAACTTTGTAAATTTGATTGCGACAATTAAGGGTGGGACTCATGTTGATTATGTTACCAACCAGATTACAAACTATGTAATGAGTATTGTTAATAAAAAGAATAAGAATGCTAATCTCAAAGCCCACGCAGTGAAGAACCATCTATGGGTTTTTGTCAATGCTCTTATTGGCAACCCAGCTTTTGATTCTCAAACCAAAGGGACTTTGACAATTCGGAGTATGAATCTTGGAAGGAATAAGAATGCTAATCCCTGTCCAATCTTACTTCCATTACTGTCTAATGGAACTGAAAGTGAGGTTTATAATAACTGGTATTTGTTGTTGCACAGGCTACTCACAGAAATGGGAAAGTTCTAGCGTTTTATTCCATGTCGGAGTATGAATCTTGGAAGGAGAGCTTGGGAGGCAATGCCAGCGGTTGGTCCATTAAGTACTATAAGGTTTGTATGTTCAAGATCACAGGAGGGATAAATCTAGGGTACTCGGTGTTTTTGCATGTGTTGTCAGTTTGGTATTTTATTATCTGCACTACTATTTGTCTCTTGGACTATATTTGTCCCTTCAAGTTTTCATTGAGGAAACCTACCTTGGATTTCTGGGTGAACTGTGTCAGATTCGTAATTATTGTGGTTATATGCAATGCTGCTGCCATGGAGGTACATATATTATGACATGTTGAACCAAGCTATTTTTAGTAACATGTAACGTGAAGTACTTGATGTTTTTAGATGTTCTTTTCCTCAGGCACTTCCCATATTTCTGTATAGTTTGATCACTGCTTGGGGTGCCATCTTGATTTCAGTTACATTGATACTTCTGTTTGGAGAGGTGAGGGATTTATCTTAGGTAACATTTCTTTAGAAGAGAGCTATAAAATTTGGAGCAGGTGGACAGCTTCTTGAATTTGCAGTGCAATTTATGGTTTATTAGGGTATTCGTGCCCAATTTTACCCACGTAAAACTGATTTCTTATCCCTGCAATTTGCGACATGGGGAATTGAGGTGGGAATGTGTCTGCCCATTAGAAAAAGTGCTTATTAGAAAACTTGAGTTATGTTCTTGTAGCATGGATACATTTTCTGAAGAAGTGCTTTTAGAAAACTCAAATTTATTTTTCGCATCATGATGTTTCAATTTTCCTGGTTAAATCAGCATGGTGAAAACACTAGTTGATTTGCATGGTAATGAGGTAAGTAGCTACATTTTTTAAAGTGTTATGAACTAACAACATTTTTTTATTTATTTATGATGCAATTTGGTCCATCCCCCTCCCATGTCCCTACTGCCTACCCACCCACCCACCTACCTACACCCAAAAGAAAAAAAGGACAATAATGTTTTTCCATCCTGTTATTGTTATTACTGTTAGTTTTTTTCTCTGTCAAGGCACGAAAAGGACAAATCACAACTCATTTATATGACAAACAGTCTATAATTTTTGTCATAATAACAGGAAAAGTTCAATTGGATATAGGTATGTAGGGACACGACACTTGATGCCAGTCCAGCATAGTTGGGAATTCAATTTCCCCGGTTCATGCTTATTATTTTAGTACACATCTTTTTTCAAGGCAGTATCATTAGAAATTGGTATAAGACATACTATAGGATGGCAGTGAATCACAAAATGGCTTTGTTTAGTGAATTCCTTGTAGTTGAATAAGGCTTTGTTGAATGAGCATGCTCAGTTTTTGTCTATTGTCCCCCCCAAGAATTTTTCTTTATTCACTCTTTAAGACCGTATTATATAATTTTTCCATGTTAAAAATAGACCATGTTGGGGCCTTATTTTCATCTTCTTGATTGTTTCTCCTACTAAACAACTGTCAATTTCCTTAGGGTATGTAGATTGTTGTTTAGCACTCTGTCTTGAAGACTTGAAGTCCCTCAGTGGCCTTACTATGCGAAATTTGAATCTGTATGTTCTTATAAGTTATAAGTACTCATCAAACATCTTTCTCTAGCTATATTTGTATTGTGTTTTCTCAGTCATTGTTGTCTTCTCTTGATTCACAAAATTAATTCATTCTTTGTGTTTCATTAGTGATGACAATATTAAAGTAGCTATCAATTTATGTGTTTCATTAGTGTTGCCAATTTAAAAAATATCTGTCAATTTCCGTATGTGTTTACTTTTTTCATGTAATGTAGTTATGTGAGGGAAACATTGGGACTTTGGAGGAATGGACCATGGAGATGATCAAGCTACAGTGCTAAACCCTGGGAACAAACCATTAACACAGATTACTGAAGATGATTCATTTAGAGAATTTGAATTTAGACAGTATTTTTTTGCCAGCCAAGCAAAGGTGTGCAAGACAAAGAAGTAGGATTAACTTAGGTCGGTTTTGGATAATAACAGGAGAAGTTATACATAATGGAAAATTATGTTTTTTTTTTCATACCAGAAGTTATTGAATTATTTGTTTTCCTCAATCATGCTCAATTTATGGCATGTAAAATTTTTCGTAGCGTTGAGTCTTTCATTTATCAGTAACACTTATATTATTCTTCTTGCATATTGGAAATTGGGATGCACTGCTTGAACTTGCTTTAGTACGTGCTCAGTATATCATAGTTAACTTAATTCTACATTTTATTGTTAAACTTCATTTGTAATATGTATACTAATTGCCTCACTGGAGCCATACTTTCTTAAGTTTTCTACAGTGCTGGTTATATTTGTCAAAACTTTAAATATTTTTGTCTCGCCACATTTCAAGGGTACTTGATTTTCTGCAATTGTGTTTTAACTTTGTTGCAATTATACATCTCAATTTTGCAGCTTTTATTCAAGTTGAATCGTCCCTTTGAGGTTGCATCAAGGGGATATTCATTTATTATCAGCTTTTCAAAGGCATTGGCACTGCATGAGGTATTTGACATGTTGTTCAATGTTCACTCACAGTAATAATAGTACTTTTTTTAAGCTATTATTGAAACGTTATTTATTCTTATCCTTTTTACCTCTCTTTTCTTGGTGTTCTTTTCAGAGTATGTTACCCTTCTGTATGCGTGAAGTTTGGGTGATAACTGCTTGCTTGGCTTTAATCAATACAATTGCTTCTCATTATAGTGATGGACAAGTGGCACCTGATATAGAAACAGAGTTTTCGGTGATTTTGATTTGTCTCTTTTCCCTCTTTGTTTCTTTTCTCCACGTGATTTTGATTTGTTCTTTATAATACTCATTCAAAGGTTCCGATCACTTTTGAAACTCATAATCTGTAATGGGACTCTTTTGTTTTGACCGATCAATTAGTATTTTTGGGTTTAGATCCTTTGTTGCAGATCGTTCTTGTTTCAATTCCAATTTTGGGAATCTGATTTGGGTTTTGCTGAATTTTTTGTTGGATGATTGTTTAAAGAATTTTAATAAATTATTCGATGAATTATCCCATTTATGATGTAAATATTTGGTTGTGGACAAATTATTCGATGAATTATCCCATAATTATTGCTTATTGCAATGTAATTCCCCATGTTGCAGTTCATGAGGCTTGCATATTTAATTGGTTCAGATATAGAAAGAAGTCCTGTCAACAGGTAGAAACACAACTTTTTAGCATACCAATCCTATTTGAAAGTAGTAGTCAGCATTGCCAAAGAGTTCCTTTGATGTTGCACTGTGGTCCTCCAACTCTCTCTAATATATTTTTCTTTTGTGCAGTGCTTCACTCATCATGCTAGCTTGGCCTAAGCCTGCAGTTTGGCCTTTAGTTCCACCTGATGCTTCATCTGAGGTGTTTGAGAAGGAAAAGGTGAGGTTTTTAATTTGGTATTATTGACATGTAACTAGGAAAAGGCTTGTAAATTTGAGCACTGATATAAATTAAATAAACCAACCTTGTACTGGTTATTTCGAGGATACTTCAATTGATACTCTGCTTCTTTTGTTATAAGTGATTCAACTGGTTTGCTGGTTGTTTAGAATGAGTCTTACCTGAAGTCAAATAAAGTTAATTACATTTTACGATGAAAGAAAATTTTATTCATAACTCAAAAATCATTTGATGGCTCAGTATGATGGCCTCAGTGACATCCTAACAAAGCGGCCAATTGTAATTGGGCCAGAACTGAAAGCTACTTTGGAAAACATGATCTGGTTTTTTACTTTCTTTGTAAAAATTAGTTTTTTCAATAATGCCTCCTGTGCGCTGAGGAGCTTCATCATCAACATCTTTACTCTGGATTATTGGAAGAAATAATTGAACAACTGTGGGATAGTCAAATTTATTGTTGTCGCAGTTCAATTACACACATTAGTCACCAATATGGATCTTAGATGATATCTAGAGCTGGAGGATTGTGAGGGCCAGGTTGTCAAAAAATAAAAAAAAAACCTTGTTCAAAAAAAAAAACAATCAGTTTTTGGAAATTTGTACTACTTACCTGAGCAGTGCTTGTGTCCTTGCATTGAATTGTTATGGTAATGTGGCTCAAGTTGAGGGTTAGGATTAAATGTTTCACTAAAATAGACTATGTCTTTGTGGGCACTTTTTCTGAGACACAACATGCCCTTCCTCACCTCAGTTAACATGTCAATAATATGGTCAGGGATTGAATTGTGTTAACTTAGTAGTCATTTTGTTTGATAGTTAAGCTACCTTAATTTATGTTTCAATTTTTTATTTTCAGAATTGGTGATGATCTGAGTTGCTGCTATGAAGTTGTTGCTGTTGCTTGTGATATTGCTGCTGTAGCCATGGTTTCTGTGTTGATGTGTAGTTCAGTAGTAGAATTGGGTTTTTGATATTTATGCTGCTGCTGGATCTGTTGATAGTGATTGTGTCCTTGCTTGCTGGGTGGAACTTCATTATGGTCAGGGTTTGAATTGGTTTAACTTAGAAGTCAATTTGTTAGATAGTTAAGCTACCTTAACTATCTAAATTGGTGATGATATGAGTTGCTGCTGTGAAGTTGTGGTTTCTGTTCTAATGTGTAGTTCAGGAGTAGAATTGGGCTTTTAAGTCCTCTGGACTGTGCTGCTATCCTGTGGAACACTAAATGATCTGGTGACTGCCAGTCAGTACTACTGTGAAGACTAGAGGAGATTCATGGAGGTTTGTTGACTTCTGTAGAGTTGATTAATTACTTTAGAGTTTAGGGCACCAAACCAAACAACTTGTTTGTTAAGAAGAACATAAATACATGTTTACATTAGATTTGGCTGTTGAGAGACTACAGTAATTGACTCTGTTCTATGGGTCAGGAAAAGAATTCACTTGTTGCACATTTTTAATATAAGACATTGTTCTAAATAATCTTTCAGTATAAGACAGTAATTAACTCTGTTCTAAACAGTTGAGACAATGCTTTGTGAGTTGAATGTGCTTTTCCAAACATACTAAACATGCAAAACCATTAGACTGTAAGTGGTCTCTTTTGTGTTTTTCTTTAGCTGCTATCATGTGTGAACTATTGAAGACATTTTCCATAAATTGGCCAAATCTTTTTGCAGGCTGAAGGTGATGATGATGATGCCGAGGCTGATGATGATGAAACTGACAAAGATGCTCATATTACAGAAGAGAGTGCACATGTAGGATTTCTTTAATATTAATTAACTGTTTAAAAATATCACTTCCACAAAGGATCCACTTTGATATATCTTGTTTGTTGCTTTGTATTTGCAGGATGAGTTGTAGGGAGGGAGAGCACCGTTGTGGTTTTCTGCTGACAATTCACTCTCTCGAGATCTCTGAATTTTTTTCTTGCTTAGTTTATTTGTAGCTTTTAGTTTTGTTTGTGTTTTAGGAAAAGAAACATTGGTGGCTGCATAGCAAGCAAGAACTGTGGCTAATTGTTTTAATCTCATTTGACTCACCTGAGGAATTGAATCAGTAGTTGTTGGGTTTACCACTGTATGGAACGTCACTTGTGCCATTCCTTGAATTTATGTGCTATGTTATTGCCTATTGGGAAATTGGAAAGTAAGAAAATATTTAATGATTCAGTTAATTTGAATGATGCTTTAAAATTATTGGTTTATTATGGATTGAATGAATTATTAGGAATTATAGGTGTATTGTTTTCTTGCTTTGGCGATCAATTTATTAGTCGCGACAAATAAATAATTTTTTTTGGTTTATTATGGATTGAATGAATTATTAGGAATTACAGGTGTATTGTTTTCCTGCTTTGGTGACCAATTTATTAGTCGCGGCATCCAAAATAAATTTTTTTCGCAAAAAATGATAATTGCCGACCAAGAGTTTTGGTCGCAAAAAATACATCTATTGCCGACCAAAACAGCTCTTGGTCGTGGAAACTCACTTTTGCCGACCAAAAGTTTTGGTCGCGAAAAGTAACAAATGGCGACCAAATTTTTTGGTCGTGGAATGTCATAATTGGCGACCAAATTTTTTGGTCGTTAAATGTGACAATTGGCGACCAAACTTTTTGGTCGCGAAATGTGTCAATTGGCGACTAAGATATTTGGTCGGGAAAATATCACTTTTCGCGACCAAAGTGTTTTAGCGACAAAATGAATTAGTCGCGGTAATTGAATATTTAGCGACCAAAAATTTAGTCGGCAAATCCAACTTTTGCCGACCAACCCAAATTTTGGTCGCGAATTACTTTTGCCGACCCTCAATTGGCGACCAAAGTAGCGACAAAAAAAATTGGTCGAGGATAACTTTTGCCGACCAAAAATGGACTTTTAGCGACTACTTTTTTTGTTGCCAAAAGTGTTAATTCTTGTTGTGATGGCACGCGATAAAGGGTCTATGAGACTCGACAATATTCATAACAAGGTGTTCTTTTGAACCTCCTCTCACACTTTCTGCAATAAGGCATCCTTTAGGATTACCCCTGACCCTTTTGGGATGATTAAGGATCATTGGTCAGGTATGACTAAGATAAAAGGTTCGCCGAGAAGTTGGTCTCATCTTTGGGATTTTCCTCATCTTCGGAGAGATGACTTCCTCGAATAAAGTGGCTAGAGAGCATATTACCCCATGTGCTTGCATGCGCTTTCATGCGACTTACACATAGGCTCAATCTTACATTATGAGTTTCTTATAATAGAACTCACCCATAGTTTTATGAAGAACAATTGAGAAAGGACACGTGAGAGAACTAATCTTCATACTTGATTGCTTCTCTTTGAAAGTGAACTTGGGGATTTGATGGAAGAGCTATGCCATAATTCTCTCTCTAACTCCTTTGTCTTATTCCTCACCGAATTATCTCCATCATCTCTTTCTTATTGTGTTCCTAATTTGCAATTGTTGAAGAATTTAAGCCTCACCATCTATTCCTAGAGAATTCAAAATTTTCAACAGACATTCATTGTTTCTGGCAATTTTCTTGAACCCCTCATACAGATAAAAATTTAAGTATTGAACTAAAATAAAATATTTGATATGTGTAAGATCAAATTTGAAAATTATTATTTTTAAATTGCATATTTTAATTTTTATATTGTGATAGTGGTGATAGTGGTAGCAATGGTAGTGGTAGTAAAATAATAGTGGTGCTTATAGGGACAATGACAATGGCGATGAAAGTGGTGGTAGTAGTGGCGATGGTGGTGGTTGTAGCGGTAGTGATAGTGATGGTGGTGGTGGTGGTGGTGGTGGTAGTAAATTTATAATAGTGTATTATGTTTAGTATTTTTAAATTCAGTTAGAATTAAGTAAATTTTATATGACTTAAAATTTTCTTAAGTCATAACTTACATTTTAAAAGGTACTTTAACTTTTAAATGATATCAGTTGTCGTTATCAAATAAACTTAATTAATTAGCACTTAATACATTCAATTTTAAGTGCTAAATCAAATTATTAAATACCCCAAAATATTTGTATTAACTAAACTATACATTTATTATTGTTTTAATATTTACTTTTTAATATAATATATTGATTTGTTAAGCGGGTTTGAGATTTTAACATTGTTTTAAGATCGAACTTGCAATGAGTTTTTTAAGTCTGATATTAAATTGTTTTAGGAAATATGTTAAAAGTTGATTTTTTAATTTTTTTTTGATTTTTATTGAAAAAATATATAGAAAATTATGTAAAAAAATTGAGAAATAATATGACTAAAAAAAAATTAACAAATTAAAAAAGCCAAGAACACCAAGGTTGCCGACATGGGCATAGATTGGGCTTAGCTACTACGAGACCTTTTTTATTTTTATTGATGGCCGCCCTTAAATTATGTCTGATTGTTGGATTATGTAGGGTAGAACTATGGCCTATAGGCTATGTCTTTAGTGTTGTTGTTGTTGTTGTTGTTTTTTTTTTTTTTTTTTTTTTGTGAAATTATAGAAGTTAAGATGGATTTAATGAATTAAAATACAAATAAGGATAAATTAGCGTAACCTGTCAACCTATGTTTTTTTTTTTTAGCCTTAAGCGAAATTCTAAGATGCAGACTTCTGGACATAATTATAAAATTAAAAAAAAAAAAAATTGGATGTTGAATTTTGATAGTGATTTCAGAAAACTTTCATTCTCACTTTGGTTACATTACCAGTTTTATTTTACTATAAGTTTTTCATGTGAGAATTTTCTCTATCCAGTAATTCATTCTAATTGGAACATAAAAACGTTCACAAATGTTAAGACAAACATATAAAAAGTCTCACATATAGATCTCACCTTTTATCTCACATCTATGGTTATTTTTGTATTTCGAATACCCTTAACACAATTCATTACAAATTGGTCGTCCATTAAACATCCTAACTTTTTTGGACATCGATGAGGACAACAGAATGCTTTGAAAGTAATAGATGGTACCCACTGGCACAAAAATAAATGTCCAAAAATGGTTGGTTTTATCATCACAAGCAAATTCCATCTCATTTTTCACTGTTATGCACATCATTGCAAAAATCAAGGATAATGAACGTATGGTTCTGCTTCTTCTTCTTCTTTTTTTCTTTTTTTATTTTTTGCGCAAAAAGATTTCCTAGTTGTAGTTGGTTACTTTGGGTGACAATACTAAACAAATAATAAAAACAAAAAATAAAAAGTGCAAACTAAAAGGAGTAATGTTTCATGGTTTAAATTCTACTAATCCGATGAAGGGCATAGGAAGATATGATACATTAAGTCACTGCTTGCTAAGTCCTCTCACACAATGCTGCTAATCCGTGCCGTGCGTGGTCACGTGCATGGGTTCCTCGAATGACCAAAGTTATACCCCCACACGATGAATGTTAATGTGAATGTGATGCTCTCGTTTGGTTCAATGCTATCGATTAACATCCACCACCTCTCGTCTCCCAACTTGCACCGGTGGCAACTCAACACTGGTGTTGTACTGTAAACAATGTCCGCCAGTAGCTAATGCATCAACGATTGGTTTAATTACCAAAATGCCCTCCCCCACTATAGCACAGAATGACACGCTGACAAACATGCCCAACATGGCACCACGATAAGTGTGGTGATCTGGTCTCCAAAAAGATGACAATGCCAGAAAGAGGACTTGCATGGGCAAAGCAACAAGGACTGAGAAAGCAAGAACATGGATTCTGACCCTAGTGCCTTTGTTGATCACAAGAGACACAACCTTCCAATATGAGAACAAGAACCCTAGCGAGTAGACAATCCCAAATGCAGCAAAGACTATGATACTAAACAAAGGGTACGTGCACATCAATATTTTGTTATTGTAAGGGTCAATAGAAAGAACATAACTTACGTGAAAAACATCTGGTAATTGAGCTTTTAGAGGCGAAAAAAACACGAAGAACACTTGAAGCATGAAAACAGGCAAACAATTAAGGATGATTGATCCCATTGCCCACATATCTTGTGGGCTTCGCTTTTTGATTGATACGTCAACAAGGAAAAGAAGGGATATTAAGAAGCCTGGCTCAAAGAAACCAAGAGAAAGAACAACATGAATTTTACAGATGTTGGTTTGCTCGGATAGGGTCAAGGAGGGAAAAAATGGGTACAGATATCGTTGGTAGAAAAAGGGCAGGTGAAGGATTTCGTTGAGGGCCCAAAAGGCGATGAAGGAGACGAGAAGGAGTCGGACAGACCAGAGGGAGTTGAAGTTTTGTAAATGGTACGCTCTACGTGATTTTAGATGGAGATGAAAGATGAATGAGAGAGAAAGGCTAGAGAAGAGGATGAGACATAAGATTATAGAGAGGGTGGTTATATCGAAAGCTGAGTCAAGAATTGAAATCGCTGAAAACAAGAACATCCCATGCCCATAATAATTGTTGGTTGGGGATGAAGATGGCACTCTTGCTATCAACGGCGAGGGCGGTAATACCTGTAGCAGTGCCGTGGCGTTGGCTTCAACGGAGGTGAGTTTTCTCATAGATAATCAACGGCTTCGATATATTGTTCAGATTTTGTAATTACATAATTTGCGAATTGTGGAGTGAGGGTTGAGGAGAGAGAGAAAGGAGGGTCTAATTCCCTTCTCTTCTCCCAACCGGCAGAAACCAGGTAACTGCACAACTACAAAAGATTTTGCGTTGGAGAAACAGGCAGGAGAGAGAGAGAGACGGGGGAGGAAGAGTCCCATTTCCTCCTAAGATATCGGTGTTGTATGGTTGTGGTGGTTAATGCACTAGCATAGCTTAGAACATTTATCATATTGGATATTAAAAATTTGCTTTCATTACAAAATTTAAACATGTTCTCTTTTTTTAGTTTTCCTATTTATAATAAGGAAATAACAGGATTCATAATTGAAATAATAACCACAGAGACATTTACAAGCATATTCTAGTCTAACCCTTAGATTTCTTGGAATAAATCAAGGGTACTTGTTATAAAACTAATTCATGATTTTAGTTATTCAATTTGATCAATTTAAATTGTATGGTTGGAGCAATTGTACATAAAAAAAATAAAAAAATAAAAAATAAATAAAACTTATGAATTATTTATTTTACTATCACACCTACTAACGGATATTATTTTATTTTACTTTTTCCACTATCCTTTTGCTTTTGTTTATTTTTTTTTTATTTTTCCATCCAGGGTTTACCTTAGATTGTCTAAAAGTCATGAAGGCTAAGAGCATCACACTAACCACTTCAAATTTTTAGTCAAATTAAAATTATTTTACTATTTTAGCTAGTCACCTTAACACCTATTGCATCAAACGCTTTATTTTAACTTATTCTTATTAAAATATTATTTTCTTATTGTGTTTATTAGTCTTTCTTTTTTTTTTTTATTAAATTGATAAGTTACTATCCAAACAATTCTTAAAAAATGCAAAAATAAAATAAAATAAAATTGTCGTTGATCGGCCGGACTTCCGGTCGAACATCCGATAACACTAATTTAGCAATGAACAATACCTCACTTCTTGTAGCGAGATACTATAGCAACTATAAATTTTGACGAGCTGCAAACGAGTTTGATGGAACTGATTTTTTGAAGTTTATTAGCTAAAAAATGATTTTGAAGAGCTCGGTGAGGATGCTCTTAGGGGGTGATGACGGATCAAGTTGAGTCAGCTGATATCCTATTTATTATCTATCTAAAATTAGGTGGATTAAAAAAAATCAATCTATATCTATTCACTAATTTGGTGAATGTAGATTAAACGGGTTGCATGGGTTAGGAAAAAAATGTGATCGATTTAACAATTTGAACTTAATAAATTTTGAGTATTTTTTTGAATTATAGTTCGTAACATTTACAATCTTCAATAAGTAATAATCTGAAAAAATATGTATTATTTATTTATAATAGGCCATGACACTACACATGCATATTTTTAAGGTATTGCTTTCTATTTTCACAAAAATATATATTTTATTATTTCTACTCTATATTGTTACTTGTTAGCAATTTTTTCTTTTTATATTTTATATTTTTTAATTTTATCTATGAGTGGATCGGATTCACGCAAGTGTGAGATAATTGATCCATTATCCGACCTGTATTCGTAAATTTTAAAATATTTTATCTATATGATCTGTCGAAAAACACACAACTATTCAAAATTAATCGACTTACAATTAAATTGAATGAATCGAAGGAATTTATAATCACCCCAGTATCGATCATCAATCCAACTTGTGTTACTGAAACATGTCTCGATCAACCCAACTTAACACCAAACAATGAAAAAAGAAAGAAAAAAGGGTGGGGTTCAAAACAGGACAACATTCATATGATTTTGCAAATTGTGGTACGTGTACCCCTGACCATGCATTAAATTAGACACCAAAAAATCTACACTTACAACTGTGTAGGATGTGATGAATGTTGAAATTATCATAATTTTGACTCCACAAGTTTGTATCGTTCAATGCATGAACCCAACTTCCAACTTTGTCCTTAATAGACGCTAAAACTCTTACGTGGACTCTATTGTCAGGTTCAATTTCAGTACGAAATGTTCATGCATTACTCATTTTAAAAAAATATATTTTTTAAAAATTAAATACTATTTAATGAGAAACAATGATAAATCAATTTCATGTGGCTTAACTTTTTTAGGTGGCGAAAAATGATTTTTAAAAATTTACAAATATCTTTTTAGTGTAACAATTTTTCCATTGGACTCATTTGCAAATTTAGGAGTGTTTTGAGAAGATAGTTAAAAATTGACTTTTATTTTTTAATCAAACGTTTTGATTTTTTTATAAAGTGATTTGGAAAGTTGGTAAAAAGTTATTTTTTTGCATTTTAGGTTAATATTTATTTATTTTTTTTGATCGACAGGTTAATATTTATTTATGATATCAATTCACCATAAAATAATCAAAATAACCCACCCAACTTAAAAAATTTACTTTTTGACCCATATGGCTCATTTTCTAGCTATTCATTAACATGGAGGGCAGTGCACTAATTTCACACCTTGCGTTTCTGCACTTCCCAAATAATGTTTAGCGTTTTTAGCTGCAAGGGCTACGTTTTGGAAGCTGCTTAAAACGTAGCTTTTTTATTTCCAAATGGCCACTTAGTGTAAACATAATTGTGTGTATGTATATTTATGCCTCGTTTGGAGAGTAGGCTATTTTAGTTTTTTACTATTTTAATAGGCTAAAATAGTTGTGTTTGGGAAGCGTGTTAGATTTTTTTATAATTAGATGTGATGTTTGTAAAAAAATAAATAAAATGATTATGAATTTAATGTGACATTTTGTCTTAGTATTAACTATTTTACCATTTTGTAAATTTTAACAAGAAAAGAAAAAAAACCTAAACGCCAAACACCCCCTTAGACTTCCATCATAGTAACCGAGCAGCAAATTACCGGACTCAAAAAATTATAAGTGGATTAAAAATTTCAATGTGATTGTGTGTCTATCCAACAAAATAAGGTCCACGTGGCCGATTCTTCCTATTTTTTGCCAAAAAACAAGTCACATACTTTTCAAATTAATGTTGTCTTCCCAAAATACCGAATAACTTCGTTATGACTGAAGGCTAGTTGGTAAAGAAAAATGTGAAATTGCTGTAGAAAAAAGCTTGTGGGTTTACCCTCAACAAATATAAAATGTTTTTATTTTATGTTTATGTGAAACAACAATAAAAAGATAAAATTGCATGCCTGGAGAAGGAAGTTGGCCTGAGCTGTAATTCAAAACAAGATTGTCAAAACAAAGATTGATATTTCAAACTTGTAGGTCCATTCAGGTTTGGAAAATCAGAGTTAGAGACAGAAAGAGACCACAATTGGTGGTCGTTTTCTTTACCTTAGTTTGGATTTTACAAAATTTGGACATTTTTTTGAATTATAATTCATAACTTTTACAATCTCTAATAACTCGCAATTTGAAAAAATATGCATTATTTATTTATAATAGGCCATGACGCTACACGTGCATATTTTTAAGGTATTATTTTCTATTTTCACAAAAATATATATTTTATTATTTCTACTCTATATTGTTACTTGCTAGCAATTTTTTCTTTTTATATTTTATATTTTTTAATTTTATCTATGAGTGGATCGGATTCACGCAAGTGTGAGATAATTGATCCATTATCGGACCTGTATTCGTAAATTTTAAAATATTTTATCTATATCATTTGTCAAAAAACACACATCTATTCAAAATTAATCGACTTACAATTAAATTGAATGAATCGCAGGAATTTATAATCACCCCAGTATCGATCATCAATCCAACTTGTGTTACTGAAACATGTCTCGATCAACCCAACTTAACACCAAACAATGAAAAAAAAGGAAAAAAGGGTGGGGTTCAAAACGGGACAACATTCATATGATTTTGCAAATTGTGGTTGGTTTCAAAATCCAAGCCCACAGGGTACATGTACCCCTGACCATGCATTAAATTAGACACCAAAAAATCTACACTTACAACTGTGTAGGATGTGATGAATGTTGAAATTATCATAATTTTGACTCCACAAGTTTGTTTTGTTCAATGCATGAACCCAACTTCCAACTTTGTCCTTAATAGACGCTAAAACTCTTACGTGGACTCTATTGTCAGGTTCAATTTCGGTACGAAATGTTCATGCATTACTCATTTAAAAAAAATATATTTTTAAAAAATTAAATACTATTTAATGAAAAACAATAATAAATCAATTTCATGTGGCTTAACTTTTTTAGGTGGCGAAAAATGATTTTTAAAAATTTACAAATATCTTTTTAGTGTAACAATTTTTCCATTGGACTCATTTGCAAATTTAGGAGTGTTTTGAGACGATAATTAAAAACTGACTTTTATTTTTTAATCAAACGTTTTGATTTTTTTATAAAGTGATTTGGAAAGTTGGTAAAAAGTTATTTTTTTGCATTTTAGGTTAATATTTATTTATTTTTTTTGATCGACAGGTTAATATTTATTTATGATATCAATTCACCATAAAATAATCAAAATAACCCACCCAACTTAAAAAATTTACTTTTTGACCCATATGGCTCATTTTCTAGCTATTCATTAACATGGAGGGCAGTGCACTAATTTCACACCTTGCGTTTCTGCACTTCCCAAATAATGTTTAGCGTTTTTAGCTGCAAGGGCTACGTTTTGGAAGCTGCTTAAAACGTAGCTTTTTTATTTCCAAATGGCCACTTAGTGTAAACATATATTGAAATATGATGTGAAAGGTATGAATAATTGATTTTTATTTTTTTAAAAATATTTTTATAGTAATAAATTTATCATTAAAGGTTGAAATTCATCTTTTAGACTTATGTATACAGATAATTCATGTAGAAAAATTAAATTGATATGATAATTCTAAAAATATTTTTCTATATATGTCTTAAACAATGGACAGCAAATATGACTTTTAAAATAAATATTTAAAATAGACTATGCATACTAGTCATTTATTTTTTCAGAGATAAATATGATAAAATGA